ACTGAGATTAATTAACCTAGTCTAGTCATAAGGCACCTCAAGCATCATGAACTTAAACTAGTCTCCTTGGCTTCAAGAAAAGACACTGAAACCTGAACATTGCAAAAGTTAATGTCCTTTGATAACAGTATCTTAACATTTGAAGCAATTGATTAATGATTATGAGCTGCATTACGCTCTTATAGAGGTTTTCATTACATTATTTCCTTGTTTTTTTACATGTTCCTTTCTTCCCTTTTGGTGTTTGTTGGCTGGGGGAGGAGAGATTGCAGGTTTGGAGTTAATGAGTACGATTACATCCTAAATACACCATATTTGGTATCTTCTAATGGATGATTCATTGATGCAGAGATGCTGAGCCCAAGAATTTTTCTGGTATCAGCAGGATCAATAATACCATCATCCCAGAGCCTAGCTGTGGAGTAATACGGATTTCCTTCTCTCTCATATGCCTCCACAACCTCAGCCTTGAACTTCTCCTCTTCTTCTTTTGTCCACTAGAATACAAGAATGCGCAAGCACAGAAATAAGCATCTATTAGTAAGTGCTTGAATTCAATAGAAGAATAAACATCATTCACCTTTCAGAAGAAGCTAAGTTTACCTGAATTCCTTGCCTTTTCTTGTTGGCCCCTTCAATTTGAGACAACACGCCAGCAGCCTAATTGTTGCCAGGAATAATTCAGTATATGATATGATTAGCCGAAACTCAAATGTGAATAAAACTGAGAACTTTTAACAGATCTATTAAAATGTCTTGCTACTTAAGCATAAAGACTAGCATTCATGACATGAATGAAATATTCTGGAATTTATCATTATTTCAATGCAATTTATTACATCCATTCATGTTTAAATAGACAAGTGACAAAGATGGCAACTTGCATTAGGGTGGAGCAGACAAAGAGAACCACTTCTTAAGAAGGTAAGCCACAAGCATATTGAAATATGAATATATAGATGACAGAAAAGGCTGCTTTTAAGATTACGGTATACTTCTCTATGCTTATTTTAAACCCAAGGATATCATATATTATTGGCACATAGATCATATGCAAGAAAGTATTGATCCACCTGTGCACCAC